TTAATAAAATGTGTTATCAAAACCATATTTCCTGTGCTTGTCAATAGTTCCTATTGTTAATTGTTTATATTGCATCAGTTGTAATTTTGCATGTGGTTAGTATTTTTTAAATTTTTTCTTCTAGAAAGGAATTTACGATGAAGCATTAAGCAGTTTCTTCAGGAATGTGGACACCAGGTACCCAAGGCTTCTTTTCTTGTTTTTTTAATGTGCTGCTAACCAAAGCTTTTGAGGTTGGGGCTCAGTCTGCCGAAATGTGTTAGTCTTGCAATGCTGATGTGCTGTCCCTTCCCTCCCCAGGAGGAGTGACGGGGAGGGTTGTGACATCGCTGGCGGAAAGATCCGATCCCTCAAGGCCAGGGTGAGCCCCCGTTCTGTCAGATTCACGGCTGGCCTGCAGTTTGCGCTCGGACCGCGGGCCTGCGTGTGTTAGCTCCGCCTACGCTTCGCTGACTCGGTGGCGCTCTCCGCAGGCCGTCCTCGTCGACATGGAGGAGGGCGTGGTGAACGAGATCCTGCAGGGGCCGCTGGGAGACGTCTTCGACAGCACGCAGCTCATCACCGACGTGTCGGGATCCGGCAACAATTGGTGAGAGGCGGAGGCATGCGTTCCGGGCAGGGAAAACCGCACACGTCTGAAACAAAGCCTGTTCCACACCGGTTTTTCTCGACCTGTTTTTTTCCCCTCAAAGCTGTCAGTTCACTTGCATAATTTACTGTCATCCAAGTGGAAGTACATGTTATTGTTTGTCTTTCAAAGACCTGAAACTGTGTGACAGTCTGGCACTCAGTGCTTAATATTGGAAGTTCTGTGCCAGCATTTCTAAACCATAAGGGTTCTGTGGAAGGCAGATGTGCATTAATGTTCAATCCTGGCATAATGAAACCAGTGCATGTTTGGTAGTAATTGTAAGCCTTGATTATATTGTTTATATTGGCCATTCAGAATCAAATCCTGTTCTAGGCTTTGCGGTTACAGAACATTTGTGTGTGTGGGGACAAGAAGTGGTTTTCACCAGAGCTCTTCAAGTGACAGGAAGTGGGATAAAAGAAAGTTTGTGATAAATTTCAGTATCTCTCATCTACCTATCTTTAACATGTATATCTCACTGGAGATTATTTTTCTGAAATATCTTTGAAAAGTATCCCAGAAGGAAGGTGTTTTATTGGGGCAGCAGTATAGCGTAATGGCAAGGAGCAGGGCTCATAGCCAAAAGGTTACTGGTTCAATTCCCTGCTGGGGCACCCAGGTAGCTTGTGCAAGGTGCTTAACCCACAGTTGCCTCAGTAAATATCCAGCTGTATAAATGGAAAACATGTAAAAATTGTAACCTATGTAAGTCGCTCTGGATAAGAGCATCTGCTAAATGACAGTAAAGTAATGTAATGGAAAGTACCAAGCATGCAGGGTCGCTGACGAGACTGATCTGTAAAAGCTGGATAGCAGGTACGTCCAACCAGATGCTTTCAGCGGTTGCTCTTTTCTCGTAAATCCACCCTGGATGTGTGTGTTTTAAAACCCAAGGAGTGACAGAGTGTTGTGGGTGCGCTGTCTCCCCAGGGCGACGGGACACCGGGTGTACGGTTCTGCGTACCGCGAGCGGATCGTGGAGAGGGTGCGGAGGGCCGCGGAGCACTGCGACTGCCTGCAGTGCTTCTTCCTCATCCACTCCATGGGCGGAGGTGAGGCCGCCCGCCCGAGTCAGAGCAGCTCGCGTTCCTCCCTCGCTCACTGTGCCGAAAGCCGCGCTAACCGGCCTCGTTCTGTTTCCGCTGCGCTTGCCAGGGACCGGATCCGGCTTGGGGAGCCGCGTGCTTACCCTCCTGGAGGACGAGTTCCCTGAGGTGTGCAGGATGGTCACCGCCGTGTACCCCTCGGCGGAGGATGATGTCATCACCTCTCCCTACAACAGCGTGCTAGCCATGCACGAGCTGACTGAGCACGCGGACTGCGTCCTCCCGGTGGAGAACCAGGTGAGCGCTGTTACCATTCATTTTCCCCACCAAAGAAAGTGGGTAATCGTGTATAACCTTACTGCAAATTATTGACAACTTCCATTATTTCTGGCCATTATGATTGGCCATTTTTTAACACAGGCTGAAGACTCACCTCTTCAGACTGCATCTTGGTTGCACCTCAATCCCCACCCCCTATCACCTGCTACCTCTAGGATTTGCTGTTTATTTTACATGTAGTATTGTGATGTATTTTGATTCTGTGTTCTAGGGACTCGTGTATTGTAGGATACTTGAATCCCGTTGCCTAGTCAGGTTGCGCAAGTTAACTTGTGGTAGGGCTTGAATAGTGTTATGCTCACACTCACTGGTCTGGGATTGTTGTTATCCTGGTCTGACACTGTTGCTCATTTAACTTGAATGGATACACTTCTGTTCTGTTGTGCTGGAAGTCGCTCTGGATAAGAGCATCTGCTAAATGCATGTAATGTAATGCAATGTATTTATTTTAACCACTGCGTTGTTTAATATGGCCATTTAATCGTGTGGCCACCCCTGTTTGGCTTGTTCCTCTTCTGTAACCCCCGCTGTGAAACTTTGAGGACACTTGTTCTGACAGGTGAGGTCCTCGTTCGCATCTAATGTGCTTTTTTGTCTCTCTGCCAAGTCACTGGTTGACATAGTGAACAAGATAAGGCACATGGCCCATTCTGGGAAGCCCGGCTGTGTGATCAGGAAAGACAGCACCCTCATATCCGGGCAGGGAGGGGTCACTGGACCCGCCAAGCCTTTCGATGCCATGAATAACATTGTGGCGAACCTGCTGCTGAATTTAACCAGGTACGCAAATGGGTGTGGGTTACCATGTACCAACGCATTTTGGGGAATGCTTCGTCACTTAATCATGAGGTCTGCATTTTTGTGCTCTGCGTTTTCTATTCTGAGAATTGTACGGTCACTGTAAAACCAAACCTCCCCTGCCTTTGACAAGATCAAGGACCACTGGAAACCATTAAAAAAAGAACTGGTTGAGTCTTAAATCAAGTTAAAAGCCTTCAGAACTGAAGAGCATGTTTGTACAGCATCATACCCGTTTAACTGATCTGAGAGATTCGGTATGTCTTGGCTTGTCCAAGTATGCCTCTTTCATGCTAATGCCTTGTTTGTTTGTTCTGTCAGCTCTGCCCGTTTTGAGGGCTCCCTCAACATGGACTTGAATGAAATCACCATGAACCTGGTGCCGTTTCCACGGCTGCATTACCTGGTGTCCAGCCTCACCCCCCTGTACACGCTGGCCGATGTGAACATCCCCACGAGGAGGTCTGCTTCCCTGCTATTTTTACCGCGGTTTGTTTGGACTGACTGGGAGCTCAGCATATTGGGGTTTCTGAGGTCTTCCGTCAAGCTGAATGAAAGAGCTCTTTACTTGCTCTTTACTCTGCCACTGCAAACAAGGTTACGCTTACCCAGAGGTTACGCTTACCCAGAGGTTACGCTTACCCAGAGGTTACTCTTACCCAAAGGGTGCGCTTACCCAAAGCACTGTCATCTTCCTGTTTTTTTATATTCAATTGATATTACTGGCTTATGGTAAATTGACACTTTCACGTTTGTAGGACCGTGTAGCGATTTCACTAGGCACTTTTTAAGCTCTGCCTTGAGGTCGTCTGTATGGCTGTTCAGTGTTCTCTGCCCGTTGGCGGACTGCTAGTCTCCTCCACTATGAGGCTCATCGCAAGTACAGGACCGTGAGTATTATCTTTTTCATTTTCTCATACACACATTGTCTGTCTGTTTTAAACCAGGCTGGATCAGATGTTCACGGACGCGTTCAGTAAAGAGCACCAGCTGATCCGGGCCGACCCGAAACACAGCCTGTACCTGGCCTGCGCCCTCATGGTCCGGGGGAACGTGCAGGTGTCTGACCTCCGCAGGAACATCGAGAGGTGAGGAGCAGGCTCCCAACCCTCCCCTGACCCTCCCGATCGCACAGGCAGTGTGTGTGTGTGTGTGTGTGTGTGTGTGTGTGTGTGTGTGTGTGTGTGTGTGTGTGTGTGTGTGTGTGGAGAGCCCGAAAGGCTACCTTTCCAGCCACTCAGAAATAGTGTGTCCATTCACTGCCCGATGTTTTCGGAAAAGAAGAAACGTTCACACCATGACTGCCCCATTCAGCCCCCTCTCTCTGCGGCCAGCAGAGGTGGCGGTCTGTGAAGAGACGCAGGAGCGGGAATGAACAGGCAGGGCTGTGTGTGACGGAGGTGAAATTCAGAGGAGAAACCATTCCTGCAGAGTGTTTGATTTAAAGGAGTCGGTTTTAATCTTCTTTAGCAGCGTGAAGCTATTCGGCCTTTAATTAAACTGAAAGCTGTGTGCCCGCTTCAGACAAGGAGGTCATTAGGATCCCGTGGTATGTCAGAACCTGTAGGTAAATCACACAGCGGTGTTTCAGAAGAACTTTAGTTTTCTTTTCTCCGTGTTACAGTGTAGAGCATCATTAGTTGTGGTTATCTTGTCGAGGCAGACGGGATGAGCTGAGTTGCCCTTTGACCCCCAACCACTAGGCTGAAGCCCTCCCTGCACTTCGTCTCGTGGAACCAGGAAGGCTGGAAGACGGGGCTCTGCTCTGTGCCTCCCGTCGGACACTTGCACTCCCTGTTGGCCCTGGCCAACAACACCTGCGTGAAGCCCACCTTCATCGAGCTGAGAGAGCGCTTCATGAAGCTCTACAGGAAGAAGGTGCATTTCCTCCGAATGCTACACACAGCTTGCAAAATGCAAAATGTCATCATAGTGATTCTATAAGAAAAGCACAACAGTCCTGTCCTAACATATCCTCTCAACTACAATTAGGATTGTGAAATCACAGTCACATCCTCTTGTGGGCTTTGACTTTTCTTACATTATATTATTGGCATTTAGCAGATGCTGTTATCCAGGGTGGCTTACACAGGTTACAATTTTTGCATGCATATCCATTTATACAGCTGGATATTTACCAAGGCAATTCTGGGTTAAGTACCCTGCCCAAGGGTACACCAGCAGTGTCCCAGCGGGGAATCGAACCAGCAACCTTCTGGTTACAAGCCCTGCTCCTTACCACTGTGCCATGCTGGTGCTGATATTTCTCATTGGCCGTTTTTCTACGGGAGGTTGAAGCACTGAAATACAGTTTGATTCATCTATGTTTTAGTAGAGTCATACAGTCATAACTATAGGATCAAGTATTCACCTGTAATGCAGTATGATTTATATTAATTTTTTGGTTACATGCCCTGCTCCTTACCACTATGCTACATTGCCACCCATTCTCTTGAGTCTGTGCTCTCCAGACTGCAGACTCCAGTGGAGTGTTGGTTAGCACTACTGGGGAGATCAGTCATGTAGGCAGCTGAATGGAAGGCCAGGCAGAGAGGATGTTGTTCCCTGCAGGGTTTGTAGTGTAGTGACCCCAGCTCCTTGCTTGCAGGCCCACCTCCATCACTACCTGCATGTGGAGGGCATGGAGCAGGGCTGCTTCTCTGAGGCCCTCTCCTCCCTGTCCTCCCTCATAGAGGAGTACAGCCAGCTGGATGCCACCAAGAACCTGCTGCTGCCAGACGCCTCCAGACTCAGCATAGCCACATGAAGAGCCTGTGCTCTCAAACCCACCCTGCTGCAGGCGCCTTGGGCATCTTATTTACTGTGTGTATGTGTCTGTCTGTCTGTCTGTGTCTGTGTGAATAGCTCATACTAAAGAATTAGTTTGTGTTGACTTGGAAAACATTTTTGCACTGTAGTTTAAATTTATTCACAAGTTCACAAAAGCACTTTACAGTTTTAAACAATGAGATTTGTGCCTTTCAACACAATAAATGTGAATTGTTGTAAATATTGTTTTTGAAAGAACATCTTTGCTGTTTTCTACATGCAATGCTTTCATACCATTCAGAATGCATCAAAATAAATAGTGAAATCTTACTGGGGTCCCATAACATCAAGAGGTAAACATAAAAATTAAAGTAGGTAGAAGTGCTGCACATGGTTCCCTGGATTCCCTGTCTCCTATGTTCTATTTTTGTTTTCTGTTACATTGGTAATGTGAGGGGAAAATGAAAGGAGAATGGAAGCGTTTTGCAGTGGCGACAAGAACAGGTAGCAGAGGTTTGGAATCTTATAGGGTTTGGAGCAGGATCAGAACGTGCTTTTTATGACCTCACTGATGCCTCTCATTCTGCTGATAGATAGTTGGCATTCACCGCCAGTGTTTCTGCTATCTTATCCAAAAACATGCTTACAAGTTTAGGCAGTGACTGGTGTAAGAACAGGTTTCATGTACAGTACTGCAGGATCTATTCTTTTCAGTTCCGCTTGGAAAAGGCTCTTTAAAAAAATTCTGCGTAGTTTGGTTTAGCAGAACTGTTTTTCCTTTCAATCAATGCCTATGTTTATTTTCTTTTAATATTCTGATGTTTATCAACATTTACATTTACAATGGTTTAGAAAAAAGGGCAGAAACCATAAAATTAAGGGAGGTATTTTGTTAAAAGTAGGTGTTTCTTGAATGAATTATGAAATAATCATCTACTACCTCTGCTTACAGACACATTTATACTTAAAAAAGACACTTAATACAAAGAGTACTTCTGTTATAAATATCTCTTTCAAAGCAAGTAAGACCCCCATAGATAGCAATATTATTTCTATTTTCAGAAAATACATAAATAAAAGAATAATTGTACCAATACATTCTCTATTTGTAAATAATATTTTTGAAAGCATCGACTGGAAACTGATATAGTGCTAGAAATATGAAGGGATGTTTGGAAGAGGAAGACTGAAAAATCAGTTCCCTCATCACTCCTAAGTTTCATAAATATTTGAAATCAAGCCAACTGCACGGCGCCAGCAGACAGTTAAACTAAACAAGAACCTGAAAATTCTAAAGTAGTTTATGAAAGAGTTACCTGAGTTCTCTGATGCCATTAATGTTCCATCCAGACATAAAAGGCTCAGCCATGACAAGGTCAATACACAGTAGTAGCTGATGTTTTGTGAGGAAAAAAATATGTAGATGTTTATCGATATGAGTCAAACCCTGCCAAGCCTGCAGTGATATATCATACAATACATCATTCCAGTTCTTGAAATGTATTAAAAGAACAACAATTTGATGTCTACCAAGTGGAAAAGTACAAATATTAACTGACACCCTCTAACAATAAGCAAGGTAATTTCAATAACAAGAAAACAAAATTAACAAAAGATAACAACTTAGCCATCTAATTCTATATCTGAAGCTAGATATAGCCAACAAATATTACCCTTGTTAAAATTATAGTCATAAAAGCTCTTCCTGAAAGTGATTACAGGGATAAAAACACAACAAACCTGTGATTAAATGGATTGATTTACTAGGAATGGTTCTTTTCCAAACTCCTGTCTGTCTTTAATTTGCCAAAGTGGTCTTGCATATGTGAAACAAAGTCAGACACTGAAAGAACTTTCCATCATGGAGACTAGTTTTGTGCAGTTTGAAAATGCCGCAACTAGACACTTTCCAAAAACATACTAGCTGCTGTCAAGAATTTGTCCACATGTTGTAATACTGAAAAAACGTGTGTGTCATCTCATAAGGCTCGTCTTTTCCACAGTTTTCTTTACCAAGTCCTCATGGTAAAGGAATTGGCTGTTATTCCAAATTGTATTGATCCCTTGCTATGGATTTAAAGCTTGAATGTTCAGCTGTTGCTCGATATTACTTGCTTGTGAAGAGCTATATTTTCTACCCTTTGGCGAAACGGACGTCTGTCCAAAGCAGGCCTATTATGCGTCCTGAAATAGTAAACCGCAAGGGTGCCACTGAAGAGATCATTTGGGTCATGTTTCCCAGCATACGTCATGTAAACACTCTAACCAGAGAAATGGTCTCTTTTGTTACAAACTCAGATTGCCCGTTCCACAATCCCAGAAGCTCGCATGTCCTCGACAGACACGTTCGTGACTACAGAGGGTCATTTTACCCCATTTCGGGAATATTGTCTCATACTGAGAGCGCTTTTGAAAACGGCAGCCACAACATTGTAATGGCCGAGTCAAACACTTAGACAAAAGTCAGAACACACAGACGGGGCTGCAATCTGCTGGGCGCAGGCCTTGCGACAGCCGCAGTCATCCTGTGATCTGCAGTGAAACTCGCACTCGACTGCACGCATGCTGCCCCTTGGATGCAACAGCAGGGTATTGCTCTGCGTCCTGCAGAAAAACCTGGTGATAAGGCAGCAGTGAGTTACAGTAACGCTGTTTCTGGGAGCCTAATCAGCTCTGTCTAAAACACAAGTATAACACAATTTGATCTAATTCATCATTTTGATGTAATTCGTCATGTCTAAGATAACATCTAATGCAATTTGTGAAATCTAATATTGCCTATATATATCTATAAATCAACAACATACTAACACAGGTTGTGCTGACTGGCAGAAGTCCATCACATCTCTCTCGTTGATCCTTCGGAAAGCCTGTGGATTTGCCCGTCTCTGATGTCTGTTTTCTGGTTTGGGCCGGGGCCGCTCCGGGGCCTAGAGGAAGCGGAGCTCGGCGAACATGTCCCCCGGGTCATTGCATTTTTTCTGACACACGCAGGAGGTGATCCACTGCAGCTTCCAGCGCACGGCGCCGCCGGCGGCGCAGCTGAACTCCACCGTCACCATGCGCGACTTGTTGGGCACGCAGCAGCGTTTGTCGCTGCAGACGCCGCAGTACGTCGGCCGGAAGCTGCGGGTGCTGGAGCAGCCCGACAGCACCAGCTTCTCGGCCTTCTTCGCCTGGAACTTCGGCCGGCAGGTCTTCCCCTTCGGGATCTGGAAACAGCAGAGGGTGATATTTGTTTTCACTATTACATATACATTCATACAGCTGGATTTTTCACCGAGGCAAGTCTGGGTTAAGTACCTTGCGCAAGGGTACAGCAGCAGTGCCCCAGCGGGGAATCGAATCCGTTCAAGTATAGGATCAAGTATTCACCTGTATGCAGTATGATTTATTTTAATTAGTTTTATGGTGTGCTCTTCACACACAAGTTAAAATCTCATAGCCAGCTGTAGAAGCCAGTCTACTGTGGTAAATCTGGTGAAAAGATACGGCTTATTTGGACCTTTATTTAGAAGCACCTAGTGTGGGTCAGTGGGAAGTGTGGTTCTATAACAGCTAGGGTAGACTTAAGTTCCCATGGAGCTATAAACCAGGCCATCGACATGTTAACGTCTGTGCTTGGTCTATCCACCTGTACACTCGAATACAGGTATGTAATGTCACTCTCTGTAAAACATTACAAATTATGTCAGGCTCTAGTGGGGATATACCTGTTAAATGATAATTATAAGATAAAATGCTCAACATGCTCCCGATCTGAATGAACATCTGAAGGCGTGACTTAAAGGACACTGCTACTGTCAATGTAACAGCACCTATTTGATTCCTGGACATGGCCGAGATGCAGATACGGATCTATTTCCTACTGTCAAACACTGGTAAACTGGTAGCGTGTGTAATAAGCTCTTAAATAGACCTTTATACTGTATGATTCTGAGGTGTGTCGTTTAGAGTCCGTTGCTGCGCGTTAGCGAAGAGTCACCTTGACGCTCTTGAGCGCGCTTTTCTGGCAGGGCCTGAGGAGGCAGAGCCGGCGATCCTTCCGCATCTCGCACTTGCTGTTGTCGTTGTTGACGCGGACGGAGATGCCCAGGCCGCAGGTCCGAGAGCAGGGGCTCCACGGCGTGGTTTGCACCAGGCAGTTCTTCTTCCAGGCTAAAGGACGATCCCTGTAAGCTTTCAGCGTTACAGTTAAAGGCCGCCGCGCGTAATCGCTACCAGAGCACAGACGCGCCGCCAGCGTTTCCCGGCAGCTGATCTTAAGCGGATCTGAGTGACTCATTCCATTCTCTGTGCCTGATATCGGTAAATCCAGATACTGAGGGTATCGGTGAATCTGAGCAGCTTTGATCCTCCTGAGTGAGAGTGATAAGTTGGGATGAGGAGGATGTGTTTGCAGGCCCACTCAGATCCCTGAATATCGGCAAGACTGTGTTGTATGTGTTCAGATCTAGTCTATCTCTGAGAGAGGTTTTATCACTGTC